CGTACTACCATGTATACTATGACGTGACACAATCGTACTACCATGTACTATATACAGGGCTGCAGTCAGATGTAATGTAAGTCCACCATGTGTCCTCTAGGTTAAGTGTATGTTGAAGCTCTGTTAACTCAGGACCCTTAAAATGACAGACCTACAGAACTACTCCTTTGTGCTGTAACATCAGTTAAAAACACCTCTTGGGTTCTGGGACCTTTGACTTCATGTTTCAACACATTGGTTCACAAAAAGACAAAAAAACCTGTTTCCTTGAAAGTCAGAGACACAACGGCTCCATTAGCGCGTCTCTTCACCTGCGGCTGTTCTTCTGGAGGGGCGGAGCCTCTGAAGGGGCGGAGCCTCTGAAGAGAGCTTTCAGTCATTTAGTCATGTTCCTTGCAGTGAAGTTGACATGCAACATGGCTCGAGGTAGAGTTCATACACATGACAAATGTACCAACCATTGTAGTTGTAGTGCCTTTTTAAACAATTGGAGTGCATCGCAGTGGCAGAATGAATATACACTGTAAAATCTGACCTGTTGATCTTACTTCATTCCCTTGAAAAAGTCAAGAAAATATAACTTTATGTTTACTTTATATCCTGTTAAGTTGACTTACATTTAGTTGTATTTACTTCATTCTGTTATTCCAACTTAGAAATGCAAAGTGAAATGAACTTGTTTTTTCAAAGTGCAGAGTTTGTGTGCTGTCTGGGTTTCCTCCTGCAGCCTAAAGACATGCAGTCAGGTGGGTCCTGTGTTCACACGGTTCTTTGTTTCCCAGACCTATGTGCTCTCCAGGGTCCAATGTTCCCACAGTCCGTTCTCATTCACAATTCGTCACATTGATTGGTCAGGACCCGTCGGTGTCATTTAGGTTTAGGCAATACAAATACTGGATTAGGTTTTGGAAAAGATCGTGTTTGCTTTAGAACTATGTTTTTGCCAAACTAGGAATGGGATAGAGCTGGTTCCCAAGCTCTACGGGGACCTGAACAATATGTTCCCCAGCTCCATCTGTTTACTGTGACATAGGCCATGGTGGGAGCTCGTGTAAAGGTAACACATATAGGAAAATGAGTCCCTGACAACATAATACCTTATGAGTTTACTCAACGTGTGTTAACAGAATATCAAACCGGGGACCATAAGACCCTGCAAACATAAGTATGCTTTAAATGCCAACATGCTAACTCACTAAACTAAGAGACTGATAAACAGATGCTGATGTTAGCATTTAGCTCAAACACCACCGTGCCTCCAGTAAGTAGAGCTTCACATGGATGTAGTCGTAAGACTTCTTCAGTAAAAACACATCCCATCAGAACCATTGACAGCGTAAGACAAGAGCCCTGTATGAGCTCACCATCATCTATATTACTCTGTTACTCATGTGGAGCAGATGCAGCTAGTGGTTGAACCTCTGTGATAGAAACACTTCAAGATGAAACCAGAGTCCTTTGTTTCCACATGGACACAAAAAGAGCTCTGGAGCACTACTTCTACTCACTCAGTGTAGAGACACAACACATACAGTGAGAGTCTATTCTCATTCAGGAGTTTAAGAAACAAACTAACAGAACAGCTCAAACTCAAAGAGTAATATTAATGGATTAGAATTATTAATTCAAGCCACATTTGAAGATAAAAGAAGCTCCACCATGAATCACGTTCAGACATCAACATCAACATGTTTTAAAGCAGCGGTGGAGCAGTGTTGTTGAACTCATGTCATTAAGAAGGATGTGGGCAGCAATGGAAACCTTCTTGCCAATAGATCTTCTGTATCAAACACTTTATTCTTATTAGTCCCTTCTTATAATCAGCTTTAGTGTCACTGGTGCAAAATACAAATCCACAGGTTGTTTAAAGCAACATATTTAAAGGTGACCTGAAGTGAACCTCCCTCTAGTCTACGGGCTGTTAAGGTGGTCAGTGAAGGCACAGCGCTCCCTACTGGCCATCGTATGGAACTAGAACTGTTCTAAAGAGACCAGAACGTTACGGAGACTCTCACCGAACTCTTCTACTGGTCTACAGTCCGACTGTGACAAGTGACACAGAACAGCTTTAGCTCTTTATAGTATCAGAAGTCCATGCTGTCAGTAGTTCTTCTGTTCCTGCTGACAAGACGTAAAACAATGTTCATTTCCAAAGTACTACTTTCTTCTTTGATGTTATTACGTAATCATATAGAATGTACAAATATAGATTATTATCTCTTTTTGATGTCATTTTGCCAGCCTGGGAATTAATTAACTACTAATGATTAAAAGAATACAATCAGTTTTTGTCATTTTGTGCAAACAATCCATTTGAAATTTCTTAAAATTACAAACCTGTGCCTTAAAAGATGAAGACGTGAAGATGTACAGTGTTCGATGTGAGAACAGTTTATCATGTGAATAAACCATCATCAGAAATGATTTGTCCTGAAAGCAGGTTGTTGTTGTTGTGCAGCAGTTGCTCTTTTATTGCAGGAATAACTCGACATGTTGAGTACTGTATCAAAGACGGCTTGATTCCTCTCGTTAACAGCAGCATGTACTGACCAGTGAAGAGGGTGTTGCACTTCCTCTTCCTGCATCTATTGAAGTGCTTTCTCTACTGTGGCCTAGCTCACTCATTACACCGGGAGAATAGTTTGACTCCATCAGCGGCTGATCTTGTACACCACATCGCCGACCTGCAGGATCCCCGTCTTCTTCACGTTGTGCAGCTGTCCAAACAACGGAGACGACTTGTAGATGTGCTTCTCGGATGGTTCGCACTGACGATAGCTGTGAGAGAACCGCAGACAGAAAGGCATTTAAATGTGACATCGTGCAGGAAAGATGACCAATATGTGAATATCTGTCGTTTCAGAGATATCAGAAAAACTCAGAAAGGACCGAACAAAATGCCAATAATATACAACTCAACGCAGCTACATATACATCTGTATAAAGACGTGTTGCAGCGTTGCCACATTTGACTGACATCAAAAAGCCTCAGATCCTTGAATCTGTACAACTGTTATAGAAGTTGCCACATGGTCTGTCTGTCCAATGTTTGTGTGCATTAAATAATAATTGCTATGTTACGGGCTGAAGTGGGATGCTGCTGATGCTGAACACGTATTACCAGCAGACTGTAGATATGAACATGATGCAGGTAGAACTTTACCTCTTCAGTGTGTCCAGAGGCTCTTTCCTGGTGATCACTCCCGTTTCAGGGTCAACGGTGGTGAACACACATCTGGAAGCAGCAGAAGTTACAGGTGAGTTTGAATCCAGCCTGTGAACCTAAATCTCTACACTTATAAGGACAAATTAAATCATTTTAGCATCAAATAAGACACTACAGTGGTGTGTGTATGCAGGTAGAAGTCCCAGCAGCAGTGACTGCGCTGCAGCTTTGGATTCATTGCCGTCGATAAATGAAGTGATTCTGTCTCTGAATGAAATCGGTGTGAAGCATCAGCTGTGTTACCGTCCGCATGATATCGCGCGCTGCAGTCGCACGCTGCCGACCTGGATCTCCTCCCACCAATCCTGAAAAAGCCGACAGTTGGTTTTTTGGAGTTGGAGATAAAATGAGTGAACACTGGTCACACTTAGAAGAACGAGGTGTTAGTGAGAAGTAAAAGGACCAGATGATCATTTACAGAACCTCACGGGCTGCAGTGCAGACACAACGGATCTGCTGCTTCTAAGACCGTTGGTGGTTTGAATCTAATCTTGACATGATTCCTCCACATGTTCTTCTCTTTCATGTAATCAAGACTTCTGATCTTGAAGCCAAACATGAATCAGCAGAGAAAGAAATCGGAGCAATATCTGCAGCTGTGAACAACGTACCTCATCGAATGATTCACAGTCACTGACGACGATGTTTGGGCGGAAACGCTCCACCGTGACGTCCTGCTGGAGTCTGCTGCTGAGATCCTTGACGGAGGACTCTGACAGCAGCATCACAGGTCCCATGTCTGCATAGACCACCTCCTGCAGTCACACAGGAGACATGATTCTGTTCTCTTCTTGCACCTTTATGGAAACACCACAATAACAGCCAGAAGTCTGGAGAACTTGCGTGTGTCTTTTGTGCAGCATAACTGAACTATAATGAAATAAATCATAAAAGGATAAACAAGTTTCACCAATACTGGAGAGCAGACATGTGTTCTCCTACTTCTGTACATGTTGAACTATTAACATGTTGATCCTTTACAGCCTCTTGTTACGTCGTCTCTGCTCAGTGATGTAACTCTTGGTCTCAGAGACGTCACATCATCACGTCCCAGTTACAGAAGTGTAGAAGTTGTATTTTACAGGATCTGCTAACTATTTATTTTTGGCAATATCTTAAATGAGACGTGTAGAATAAAGAGATGAAACATCACTTTATTAAAGCTGTGATCTGGTAATTGGTGCTGACTGAGACATTCAGCATGCGGGGGTGCAAGGACCGTCGGATATGTGATCATGTGATCATTTCTGATGAAACGTTCTGCTTCAGATCAATTGTGTAATTTTCGCGTTTAAAAAAAGAAAGAAAACAAACCTTTCAAAGCTGCCAGCAGGTTGTTCACATTGTGAACAGCAACAAATAGTCAGAAACATACTAATCTGTCTGTTTCCTTCTCTCATAAAGGTGAGACATGTAGTGAGACTTCATGGTGACGCTGACATAA